TTGCCTCTAGCTAGGATCGAAACACGACTGAATTGGTGTCAGTCGGAGATTCTAACCATTAAGCCATCGGCGTACGGTAGGGATGAAAGTGGATTTTTAGCGTATTTATTTTTAGAAACACGCCCAGTGACCAACAGTGACTCAATTCACATCTGCGAAGAGTCTCGCTATATAGCTATAATAGTCACTGTTTACCAACCCACACCTCGTCCCCAGAGAGCTCAACTGAAATTGATATTTCAGGAGCCAATATAACGTCATCCACAGACAGACTGTTTCGCTATATTATAAGTTTCTCTTGGGGAAACATGTCTACATCCTCTTTGTTATGGATTTATCTTTAGCAGTAATAATTACTGTTTGTAGCCATCCAGTATAAGAGTATAATTTCTCCTTTATTATTAATGCCCCAAAAGAAAATTATTTTTGCTGTGTTTCGGAAAATATACTTTCCACTTTGCATAGTATTTTTATCATTACTTAAATAGGCTGGCCCACTCATAATAAAAATAGGGGGAAATATTTTTGGAAACAATAAAACTAATCTAATTATTTTATTAGAAATGCTTTTAATTGTTTTTATAAATAAAATTTATTAAGGACACTATTGTCTTATCTTAAAAAAAAAAAATTGATGAATAATGAATTTTTACAATTTAATTATAATAATTTAAATTGTTTAGATAACTAGTTTAAAGTAAGCTAATCTAAAAAAAAATTATTTCTTAAAAATGTTTCCCTTTTTTCTTTTTTTTTTCTTTTTTTTTTTACAAGGGACCAGTATTTTTAAGTAGCTCCCTATTTTTTACTAGGAACAAATGGAATCTATTTTTCTTTTAAGTTAGTAATGTAAAGAAAAAGATTGTCTATATCTATGACTGTGGTGTGCTGCAACCAATATGACTCTCTTTTCTCCTCTTTATTTATATATTAATGTTTGTCTTTCAGAGTTTTGAAAGGTTCATGAACTTCAGCTGGAAATATGGCAAAGACAGGTCTCCTGATTTTAACGTCACCATTTTCAAAACTAAAAAGAAGAATTCCGCACGTTCTTGCAGCAGCCAAAACTTTTGTCCGGGATACATTATACGTTCACCTCCAGCCACAAACTGCCACAAACATTCCAGACCCCAGTGTCAGCACTGCCAGCGAGCGTTTTTCATTGCAACCTGTCCCATTGACATACGAAGCAGTTCACCTGTTACAAGATTTTTATGAAACAAGTTCCCAGACATTGCCACATCTTGATCTTCGTGTCTTACAGGGACATTTCACCAATGGAAAATTAAAATTTTGCAACTACAGCTTTTCACAGCATTATGATATCATATTGCATGATTTTCCGCACTACAACAATGAAAATAACCCTGACTTGATACAGGATATTAGCAATTATTTCCATTCACATGGCACTGTGAAAAATGTAAATTTTGAAAGGTTGTCATTGTCATCAATGGATGAAAAGATGGAGGATAGTAATCAAGGTGAAACTGATGCTACTCACAGCCAGGTAGATGTGAAACATCATGTTGCACTTGGTGGCACTTTTGACCGATTACATGTTGGACATAAAATGTTATTAAGTCAAGCATGTTTTCTTGCAACAGATAGCTTGACCATAGGCATTTCTGACACGCCTTTAACTGCAAGTATGTTTTTAAGTCAACTTACCTTTTAATGACAGTTTCAAACATTCACATTGTACACACATACATTAAGCATATGAGATCAGTCTGAAAAATATCCAGTCATTTAATGTTAACAGGGAAAAAGAAAAAGCTTATCTAGAGCTATGTTGCCTTAGTCCACTTCAAAGTACTCTGATCCTAGCATCCTTTTTACTTTCCAAAATAACCTGCAAAGATTTCTTTCAGGATCACCATCAGTTTCTTCATTATGTTCATCTCAATCCCATTCAGGATGTTGCAGTGGTGAATTTAAATGAGAAAAGTCAAAGGTTGCAGGAAAGGAACCAAATTTAAACTGAAGCAGGGTAGGGTTGACAGACCTAAGGGTCATATGTTGTCTTACCATAAAAAAAACATACTCATTTGATCATTGCGAATATTACAACCTAACCCTGCTCAATTAATAATGTGTCACCAATGACTAAGTAAACCTATAGAAGATTTTCTGTTTATGATTACACAGTAAGATCCCAGATTAAAGTTATTTCAAGGCTACACAAGTGGTTCTAGTAATTCAAAATGACTGGATATGTTCCAGAACGATCTCAGATGTATAAAAAAAATATCTCATTTTAATTAAAATTTAGAATATTTTAAAGAGGAAGGATTATAGAATATCTTACTAAAAACTTATTTTGATTTGTTTACAACTGGAGTTAGATTTCAACAAAATTTTTTTTTTTTTTTTTTTTTTTTTGCCAGTTTACATAATTCTTTTTTAAACATTTATTCTATTTCTGTTGTTCCAAGATCCACCCTGACTTGTGGTGGTAGCACCTGTTAGGGTCCCAGTTATGGGCAAATAGCTACCCCTCCACCCCAAACAATCAACAGTACATCTTTATAATAAAATGACCAAAAATACATTTTTATAGTAAAATTACTAAAAATAGAATTGATCTATGGACTATATATCTAAAATGCTTACCTTTACTCTGACAGTATAAAATAATGTACAAAATATGTAGATTTTGGCATTAACCCTTTGCCTGTCCTGTACATCATATATGATGCACAGGATATGTGATTTCCACATCCGTGCATCCTATGTGGGTGCACATGAGGCATGATTTTAAAAAAAGTGGTAAAACTAAGGACACTGAAGAAAAGAGTCTATTAATGAACAGGACATCTGAGTAAAGGCCTAATCTAATATTTTGTGCATCATATCTGATCACAGGACACTTGCCTGTTTTCAGATTTATAACTGCTGCAAGGTAACTCAGCTTATTTGGTAAATAGATTATGCTGATATATAGGGTTTCACATAATAAAAACCTGTGCATCACATGTGATGCACAGAGCATAGTATAAATAACTTATGATTTGTATGTCTTTATTATGTGAAATATTTTATATTATAAGGATTCACTTTGATTATATACCTACAGATTATTATATATATATATATATAAAGGTGAACATAGAAGTCAACACTTAGAGGCGACAGTCTGTTTCATGCTAGACGCAATCGTCAGGCCACCTATACCTTATATATATATATATATATATATATATATATATTAAAATAATAGGAAAGAACAATGAGATTATAATTCAGCGTTATAAACATTTATTTTTATTTTATAAAACAGTGTTTGATACAATCATAGAGCATAATATTATCTGTTTTTTTTTAAATATATAATCATTGCAATATTAAAATATGAAAAATTTATTAAAATATAAAATGTCGCAATGTTAAAAATCTAACTAAATAATATTTGAATGCCCCAATTGAAAAAATATAATTGAAATTTATATAAAAATTAAATAAAAAAAATGCCAAATGTATTGCTATTGAAATCCAGATGATGTGTTGGAACATAGACACTACCACAAATTTTTACTTAGAAAAAGGAAATTTGTATCAATAGACAGATACCCCAGCCCACACCTTGATTTGACTGACTTGATAGCTACAATACATTAGATACATGTGTTTTCTAAATAAGTTAAATTTTAACACCCCTAAAATTAAAAAGATGGAATTTTCCTTAACCCCAACATCTCAGAATATCAAATTTGTCTGGACTTATAAATTAAGTAAATCAATTTAAAAAATGTTATTCTTAGCATCGCTTGATAATGGAATGGAACTTTGTATTTTAAGTCTAATTTTTATGATTGAATTTGAATTGAAGTTTCAGTTTTGAGACTTTGGAATTCCAGTGTTGCGATGATTATATATTTTTAAAAAAAAAACAATTAATATTATATATATATATATATATATAAAAACAATATTGGGAAAATTTATGACAAAGTGGAAAAAGTTTACTTCCAAATGAAGTTCTAAAGGATGAAATGCATCACAAGTAAACCTTTTCCACTTTGTCATACATTTTTTCCTATATATATATTTTTGTGTATTTAGCCAGCAATCCTTCTTTCATGCACATTTCATTGAATACGACAGAAAAGGTGCTTTGATTTAGTTTTTTTATACAATTTTTCATGCGATCTAATAATTTTTTTTCATTTCAGATGATAAATTATATAAAAATTGTCCGAATGTTCTTTTAATCCGAGTGCTTTTGGCTATACATTTAGCCATTTTCAAGGATGAAATATTTTAACTGTTAAATAAGAAATAGTTTGTTGCATGTATGTATTTATATAATGTTTTAATTTTTCAAAACACGGTCAAGATATTGTGTCCATGTTCATAGTTGATATTATTAAGTGTTGTTTTTTTTTGCTTTTATTTCTTATTTAACGTGTAGTAAAAAGAAGAGAGAAAAACAAAAAAGTGACGAGAGGGTTCACCAGCAAACCAGCTGTTATTCTTTGCCGTCGGTCATCTCAAAGAAATGAATTGTGAGACTCCTTTTCTTGGCCGTTATACAGGGCAGTTGTGAAATGGACACCCAAATCAAACGCGCCTACTTCAACTGCCTTGGTCTGCCAGTCTATTCGCACGTCCGACTCTGTTTCATGAAGTCTGCCGAATGACTCGCCGTCTGCCGTGCCGCTGGCGCCTCGCCTTTTTTATGCTAGTCCGATACTGCTGAAATTTGCATGTGTACTGGTACAATCTCGTTTTGGACGAGACCGGCGCGTATAAATCGCGTCTTCGACAGTAGCCATGTTTCCTTTGGGATTTGTCATGCAAGCGAGACACGTTCGCACGTGTTTTGAGCTTCGAGGTAAGTCATCACATAACGATTAAAATATTTCATGCTTGAAAATTGCTAAATGTATAGCCGAAAGCACTCGGATTAAAAAAATGTTTGAACAGTTTTTATATAATTTATCATATGAAAAGAAAAAAAATTATTAGATAGCATGAGAAATTATATAAAAACTAAATCAAAGCACCTTGTCTGTTGTATTCAATGAAATGGGAACACACACACACACACACACATATATATATATATATATATATATATATATATATATATATATATATATATATATATGACAAAAGATTTAAAAAAAAACCAAAGAACTATATAATATTTAAAAATTTACAATTAGGAAATGAATTTAAGCAATATTTTTTGTTCAATAGTTTCCATCATTAATTTTGGGTAAATGAAGCTAATGTCACTGGGAGCTGTAACTTGATAAATAAAGTAATTTTTTTATTTTTGTACTTTAGATAAAGCATTATTGCTGGTGGTATTTTACAACTGTATTTGTTATTATTGCTACTTTTTATCCAAACACTCTGCGTCCAATACACCCTTCATTATTATTAGTTTTATTTGATCTTGTTGCTTTTTATCCCAACACTCTCGGCTCAACACACTCTTCATTATTATTAGTTGTATTTGATCTTGTTCCTTTTTATTCCAACTTTCTGGTTTCAATACACCCATCATTATTATTAGGTTTATTTGATTGCATATCTTTTCATCTGGACACTCTGGCATAATACACTCTTCATTATAACTTCTTGTATTTGAAATCATTTCTTTTAATCTGGACACTGGGTTCAATGCACTTTTCATTATTACTAGTTTTATTAGATCTTGTTTTTTTTTTTTTGTTATCCAGACACTTTGAGCCCACACTTCTCATTTTTTTTTTTGTTATCCAGACACTTTGAGCCCACACTTCTCATTTTTTTTTTCCAGTTATCTCAGATCAGACACTTTGAGCCCACACTTCTCATTTTTTTTTTTTTGTTATCCAGACACTTTGAGCCCACACTTCTCATTTTTTTTTTGTTATCCAGACACTTTGAGCCCACACTTCTCATTTTTTTTTTGTTATCCAGACACTTTGAGCCCACACTTCTCATTTTTTTTTTTTTTTTTGTTATCCAGACACTTTGAGCCCACACTTCTCATTTTTTTTTTTTTTGTTATCCAGACACTTTGAGCCCACACTTCTTTTTTTTTTTTTTTTTGTTATCCAGACACTTTGAGCCCACACTTCTCATTTTTTTTTTTTTGTTATCCAGACACTTTGAGCCCACACTTCTCATTTTTTTTTTTTGTTATCCAGACACTTTGAGCCCACACTTCTCATTTTTTTTTTATCCAGACACTTTGAGCCCACACTTCTCATTTTTTTTTTGTTATCCAGACACTTTGAGCCCACACTTCTCATTTTTTTTTTTTGTTATCCAGACACTTTGAGCCCACACTTCTCATTTTTTTTTTTTGTTATCCAGACACTTTGAGCCCACACTTCATTTTTTTTTTTTGTTATCCAGACACTTTGAGCCCACACTTCTCATTTTTTTTTTTGTTATCCAGACACTTTGAGCCCACACTTCTCATTTTTTTTTTTGTTATCCAGACACTTTGAGCCCACACTTCTCATTTTTTTTTTTTTTGTTATCCAGACACTTTGAGCCCACACTTCTCATTTTTTTTTTTGTTATCCAGACACTTTGAGCCCACACTTCTCATTTTTTTTTTTGTTATCCAGACACTTTGAGCCCACACTTCTCATTTTTTTTTTTTTTGTTATCCAGACACTTTGAGCCCACACTTCTCATTTTTTTTTGTTATCCAGACACTTTGAGCCCACACTTCTCATTTTTTTTTGTTATCCAGACACTTTGAGCCCACACTTCTCATTTTTTTTTGTTATCCAGACACTTTGAGCCCACACTTCTCATTTTTTTTTTTATCCAGACACTTTGAGCCCACACTTCTCATTTTTTTTTTTTATCCAGACACTTTGAGCCCACACTTCTCATTTTTTTTTTTTTTATCCAGACACTGGTCACAACAAACTCTTCATTATTATTAGTTTTATTTGATCTTGTTTGTTTTTATACCAACACTCTGGACTCAACAAACTCTTATTACATTATTACTTGTTTGACTTCTTTAAATGATTGTTGCTTTTTATCCTAACATACTAGATCAATAAGTACTTTACTGTTAGTATTATTCTGTTAGTAGTTTTATTCCATCTTATTTTTGTTTTTGTTTTTTTTAGGTGAAACATTCTTAATTTTTTTTAATTACTAGTTTTACTTTCTGTTCTTGGTTTCTATAAAAAATCTCTGACAAGGCTTGAACTTTCATATCTGCATTTCAGGAGCTGTCATATTCAGATCAAGAAAACTTTTTATTTTTAAATTATCTTTTTTTATTATTATTTTATTTTTTTTATTTTTTTGTCTCTAGGGAAGAGGTTATGTGAACTTATTGAACCTTTAGGCAAGAGAATGGAAAATGTCCGTGAGTTTTTGACTGACGTAAAGCCAGGCTTACTCTTAGATATTTTTCCACTGTTGGACATATATGGCCCAACAATAACCAATCCGAAACTGGACTGCCTTGTTGTCAGCCAGGAGACGAAAAAGGGAGGAAATAAAATCAATATTGAACGTGAAAAGAAGGTATTTTTCATTCATCCCATTTCTCTTGTCCATTTGATTAATTTTATAATCTTTCTTTTTTTAAATTTTATTTTGCAGGGAATTTAATAAAATTCAATATTTCATTTTGTTTCTGTCATAATCTTTTGGTTTCTTTCATCTTCAAGTGAATTTAACCAGCTTTAAGTGCATAGCTTTGTCATCATTGGCAGAACTTGTTGCCGAGTATTGGGGTGATTCTAGACATTTCTTTCTGTGTGAAATGAGTCCTATGTTGGATCTGAAGAGCTATGTTGAAGAAGTAGCCTTGTGATCTGCTTATATCACAATCTCCAACCTGATGAATAATTGTCAGGATGCATTTTTTGCTGATTTGCTAATCACGATGTTGCGGTAGTATCATTCAACTACTAGTATTCTTAAGTACATAATGAATGGGAGGAGGCTTTTTTATTTTATTTTCTCAATAAGTAATAAACAAGTGACCTTAATAACAGTAGGGATTGAAAAATCATTGAAAAGAGTTTTAAAAAAAAATGTCTGACATTAATAAATTACCTCCCCAGCTTAATGCGTAGAAAGATGACCCACCTTCTCTATACTAATTGTTGAACATAGACTTGTCCACTCACTATGGGTAGGAACGTCTTCTCATAGGAACAGGGGTCGTAAAGTGTTCTAGTGTTGAGTCAGATGCATTGCCACACTAACTTCAGTATTCACTATTATTGTATTATTAATCTATGTGATTAAACTTTTTCTTTACTAATCTTTTGTTCCAGTGTTTTCCTTAGAATATTATTAACCAGAAACCACAAGTTTATATGAACATTATAATGATTAATAAGCATGTGGATGGTGGAGTCAAAAAATTTAATTAATAAAAAATGATAAATGTTTCCCAATTAGGCTCTTAAAATTGTTTTTTCTATTTCTTTGTAAGTCTTTTTAGGAGGAGATTGGTAGTCACTGTTTTTTACTGAAAGTGACCTGAAAATATACCACATTAAAAAAGAAAATTATAGGAAATAATTAGTACTGTTTTTTATATTTTTTGGATAGATATTTTAACACTGACTGAATCAATGTTTATTAGTATAACTAATAACCATAACAAATATTATTATCATCATCATCGCCATAATTATTTTGTTGAGGCAGGTTTGGGATTAAACTCACATGATGCGAGGTGGGGGTGCTGCCTGACAGAGGATTTCAATTTACTTCTCTAAAAATTGGCTAGTGACAGGCCCAATTTTTTTCAATGTTTTGAAAAAACATCCTCCCAAGTCATCTTCAGCAGTCCTTTTCTGCTGCCCTCACTACTATCATTTTATGGACTTGTTTAATCGACAACCTCACTGCACTCAACATGACCAGCTCAGTGTAATCTACAGCTGCGTAACAGTGATTTATGGTTGTCAAGTGAAAACATACTGAGACTTGGTATCATAATTTGAGGCAAGGTTTTCTAGGTATCACCAATAATTTGCTGAAAAAACAGTATAGCATGATAAAAAAAAGGCTCCAAACTTGATAAAAACAATACTTTATCATTAAAGTGTTATTATTAAGAGGAAAAACAAAGGTATTTTTTAATTATTTTAAAAATTTTTTCACTCCTTTCTAACACGTTCGAAATTTGTGTTAAAAATACTTTTTTTTTTTTGTCAACAGTGTTACAGAGCTGGTAATGGACATTTTTGTACCACCATTTCCGGTGAAAAACATTAATTTTGAAATTCTTGCAAAAATCAAATAATTGTCAAATTTTAATGATCCTTTTAGGACTTATTCAAAAATGATTAAATTTATTTTGGAAATTATTATTTTTATGTTTTTTGTTTTTTTACATCTATTAAACCTCCCCCGCCCTTAATTTCATAAATTTTTCTAGAATTTAAAGTTCATAACAAAATGTTTTTTATTAGTTAAAAGCAGGACACCTTGGAGAATATAAATCATCAAATTTTTTTTTTTTTTTTTAAACTATTACCAAGTTTCCTAAAATCTGCTCTAAATCATAAAATAAAAACTGCAATAAGATTATCTAATTATTTAATTAGATATGCTTTTAATTGCTTCTATAGATAATATATTAAGGATATTATAGTCCAAAGAAAAAAAAATTTCAATGAATAATTAATTTTTACAAGAATTGTTTGCATTTTTCTTTTTTTAAATATAAAGTTTCAAAAATGTTTTAAAATTCTTCCAAACATAGATAAAATTAGGTTATTAACTGATGACTATATTTACTAAGTGAAAATTGAAAAGCTTAATGCAAATCATCCTACCAAAATTTTTTACAATAATTAAAAATAATTTTTTTGTGTGTCTAAATGTTCTTTTTTTTTTTTTTAAGTATGGTGTTTCCTATGCAACATGATTGTTAGGTCATGTTTTTCAAGGGTTATCCCCCCTTATGCTCATAAACCTTTTAGCTTTAATTAGTTGAGAAAAATAATTCATTTTTATTTATTTTTTAACTTTATTTATTCTTTTTGTGAGTTATATTTTGATAAAAAATGTTTGAAAATGAACCCTTTATTTTATTTTAAACCTAATGCTTAATTTAATTATTTTTATACTTTATTTCATTTACATTTGAAATTAGTTTTCTTTTCTCATTTTATTTTTAATTATTGTAGGTACCTCTACTAATTCTTGATACCTAAGTTTTAAAAATTAATTTAAAAAGCAAAAATAATAAAGCTTCCTTGAAGTTTTCATTTTAACTTTGAAAGCTAAATGATTAGAAAATAAATTTTTACCATTTCCAGTAAGCAAAATACTCTGGTATATTTCAAACAGAAATTATATATTGATTAGTATGTTTTTTTGTATTTTTTTGTCAGTAAAAAAAAAATAAAAAAAATCTTGTCATGTTTTTTGAAAATAAAAGTTAATTCTTGTTTTTAAAAATTTGTAAAATACAATATATTTTTCTGAAATGTTAAGAAAAATTAGAAAATTTAAAGTTAATCTGATTTGAAACAAAAAAAATTAAAATGTGTACACCACTGATGCAAAAAAAATTGACCAAAATTTCGAACATGGTAGAAATATTAAAAAATTAAAAGTAAATCAATAATTTATGAAATGTTATTAATTTAAGAAATTTTTTACAGTATTTAAAATTTTATTATATTTTCAGAAAGCATCTTCATTCGTAAGATTAAGTACATAAAAAAAAAGAAAGAAAGAAAATATTAGATAATTGCTTAAAATATTTTATATTTAAAAAATTATCTGGTAGTTAAAAAAACAAAAACAAACCGTTTTTACCTAGAATTCATAAATTTATCTCAGTTCTGGCCCACCAGACTTGTCAACACCTTCAGACGTCAATATATCTATGGAGATGAGAGAATAACAAGATCCTATCATCAAGAAATGCTTGCATAGAAAATTTTATCCTATAATATTTGTTTCAGAACAGATTAATTTAACTTTAAATTTACTAATGTTTTGCAAATAACATTTCAGAAATATATATTTTATTTTTGTAAGATTTTTAAAATTGAGAATTAAGTTTTGTTTACAATCTGTCAAAAAAATTAAAAATAGCCATTTCGTTTGGTTTTTCTGAAAAAAAAATGAATTGATCAAAAATTATGCTAATTTCTGTTTGAAATACACTGCAGTATTTTGCTTTCTGAAATTAGAAAATTTACTCCTTTAGTTTTCAATTGAGGCTAAAAAGAAAACTTTAAGAAATATTTATCATTTATGAACCTTAGGTATACTGAATTTTTGGAGGTACCTAAAATAAAAAAAATAATACCAAATTTATTCAATTCAATGTCAGATGAAAGGCATAAGACAGTTTTTGACCTTTTTTTTTTTTTTTTAAGCTTTCACAGTTAAATTTCTATTTCTGACGCAAACTCAGTCCATGCTGGGGTTGATAAGACAGATGACCAATATCTTCATCTGCTGAAATAGTCTATTCTCGATATGAAGTGATTTTGGATTTTATTGTTTATTAATTATATATATATATATATATATATATATATATATAAAAGGAAGAGGTTATAGTAGTTCCAACGAGAGAAAAGTGTGTATATTAAAAAGAGAAACCACAAACGTTTTTTGTTATAATGTGGATTTTTAAAAAAATATGTTTTATTTTCCATAATTTTGCTACACACGTTTCCGGTCTCGCGACTGTCATTAGACAAATAATTAATTGTTTTCTTTGTTTGTCGATGTTAAACATTCTTGATATGAGACATTCTCTTTTTTGGTGTTAGTGATCCAAACGTCTTTCTTGAACTGGCAGTGAAAAGTTCTGCGTGAAGGGTTATAAAACAATTAAGATTGGTTTGAGAAATGATGGAGTAGTTATCGGCATGCTTATCTTTTAATGACCCCTGTGTGTCCTTAGATCTATTTCCATTTTCGTGTGCTTTTGTCGGCATGCGTGTATATATGTGTATATCCCCTCTCCGTACATACATACATATATACATACATACTGTCTCACTACAAGGAATCAGTGAACACATCTGTATTTGTAGGTAAGAATAATTGTCTGTTTGATATATTGGCATAATTTTAAATTTTCCCTAGTTACATTTGAAGATGTATTGTGATACAAAAAGCTTTCTGTTGTCTGGTAATTTTATGTTGCTTTTGCTGTTGTTCATTTGTTGACTGATACCTTTATATGACTTCATGCATTTTGTGCATTTGAGTACATAAATCACATTTTTGGAGTTGCAGTTTAAGTTTTTATTTATTATGAATGTCGTTTTGGGGTTTTCAAAAGTGTAGGAGTTTCCTTTTATAATGATGTCACAAATCCCACATCTTTTTTTGTTGCATTTTGTGACTCCCTGTATTGTGTGTTGGTTAAATGTGGATGAGGTTTTAGGTTTTTAGATTGACATTTGCTTTTAATTATTTTGGTTGTTTTTAGTATAATTTCGGTTAATATTCTTGCTAAGTAGGTCTAGATTTTTTGTAATTTCTGTGAATAATTCTGGATTGTTCTTGTTGTATGTTGAGACATA